CGAACTTTTTTGGGGGTCGCTTGGGGGGGACCCAATAGGTCCTACAAAATGCTTGTGCACGCGTGTTCTACTACAAAATGCAATGCTCATGACAAAGGTTATCCGGGAAACAAGGAGACCTGCTCTAGAAGGATCAAAGCAAAGCTGGCTGCTTCAAGGGGGGTTCCAAGAATCACCCTCTACAAGATGCCAATCACACGTTGAATCTCACTGTGTGGTTGAAAGGAACTGCATGGATTCTTTGAACTTGGGTGAAATTCGACTATTGGACTAAAAAGAGCACGAACCTAGTAGAGTTGGACACACTTGATTGTAATCTCAATTTTAAGGTGAGGCAAACGCATTGCTCAGAGATAGTTCTACCATTCAGAGCTATGGAGCAACAAAAAGGATCTAAAACGTACAAGTTGAATTTCACATGATTTATATATTTAAAAACAAAATCTGTTCCCCTCCATTTTTTCCTCTTACAAGTTCCTAGATTTAAACAAATGTCTTTACCGTAAAAAAAAACATTCTATCAAAATATCTGGTTTTGTCGCAAACCAGCAAGCACATGTTGACCCTTTTTGTAATGGCAATACTAAAAGGGATCGAATCACGCTAGCATTTCATAACTTCACTACATTAAAAAAAAACAGCGTTCCATCCAAAGTGCCCCTAAAAAACGCTACAAAATGCCACTTGGTTTTTCAAGCAATTGCCAAACAATTCACTAAAAAGTGCTACTTGGGCTTGCAAGATAGAGGCACAAAAAAAACAAAAAAGTGCTAAAAGGAAACTCATGTTGGTTTTATGAATGAAATTCATGCCTATCCATAAAATGCTGACAGGCTTCTGCTACAAACTCCATTTACTGACACCAGTCTGCATCACAACACCCTAATACTGCAAAATGGTATCCCCGGGAAAGTTGTTCATCAAAACTTCAATGCCCTATAAAATGTCATGCGCAACTACACGTTTTTTAATGTTAAGAACCCAGGGACCCCTACAAAATGCATAGTTCCAAATGTGTATATACTCAAAAAAAAACCTGTTCCTACAAAATGCTATTCCCAACCACATGTTTTACTATAAAACAAGCTTTTTTTGCAGCTTTATAGCTTTCACAGGTGCATCCTTTCTGTAGTGGAAATTTCTTCCCGGATGCTTAGGGAAGAAATAAAACAGATCGGGGGAAGCTTGTTGTTGTATATCTCTGCTTTGTGGGTAGCAAACAAATGCAGCCTTGCCACTTCTCTTCCGTGAATCATCGTCGCACCAGGCACAGAAGGAACAGTGGGAGTCTCCGGCTCGGGTTCGGCAGGCCCCCGGGGCGCTGCTTCCACAGCAGTTTCGGGAAGCGTCACGTGTGGTGTCAGCCTGAGTTTGCTGTTGGTGACATCGGAGGACACCACCAGATGCAGCTGACCGGTGGCGAAGTACCTGTGGAAGGCCAGTTCTGGGGCATTGTTCTCCGACAGGACTTCGCGCACTGCGCTGGACAGCGCGACCCAGACGAGGCAGCCTTTGTAGAGGCTGGGACGCGCCGTGTCTGGAGGCTCCATGAGGTAGAGGAGGTCCGTGTCCTGTGAGATCACTGCTCTGTGGCTTGCCATCACACCTGTAGTACGCATTGAAGCCCAGCATTGGTCTTTCAGGGCACGGCAGAAGAGACACACCAGCTGGTCTACATTGAAAGGTGCCACTACATCTGGCCTCCCTGCCCAAAGTTGCACTGGAGGGGTCATCTCGTCCTGTGTCAAGAATTCCAGTTGGCTCTGTGGCATCTGGCACAAACATTCCTCCAGCGGAGCGAAGTCCAGACGGCGCAGAAGTGCGTTTGGATAGCTCTTGATTTGCCACACGTTCTGGACGATGTGGAGGAGCCAACGCATTTTTGTTGTGGTGCGTCTGTATTCGCTGCGTGTGGTCAGCCAAAGCCAATGCTGGCAACCATCAGCAACCATTCGCAGGATCGCGGGGTCCAAGTCCCAAAGCCTATTGTTTTTGGCTGGCACTAAGCTTTGCCAGTCGTTGTTTTCGTCGGAAACCACAAGGACAGACTGGTCTGACATGAAGCTGCATCCAACTGTCATGTTGGACACACGAGGCCCCAGCAGCATGGGTATACTGTTTGTGCCGGCAGCTCTTAGCAAGGCATTGCGAAGGACCTGCACCTTCCTCAAGCCGTCTCCCCTGTGCATTGCTTCGTCGTGCCAGTCAGAATGGTCAAAGGAGTAGTCATAGTTGATGGCTACGAACATGACGTCGTCCTCAGATGCACAGGTGACGCAAGCAGGGCTGTCAGCAGGGTCGCTGGACCATTGGAAATTCGGCAGTTCCCCGGGAAGCTGCGCGAAGTCGGAGTGTGTGGTTGCAGTGCAGTCTTGCAGTGAATTTGCATGGATAGCCTGTTCTCTGATATAATTTGTTAAATGCCATGGTCGATTCTTGGCATGCTCTGTTCTATGGCTTGCTTGTCGCAGTGAATTTTCGTTTGCTTTGTTTGAAGGCCCCCGGGGCTCCGAGCCGATGCACAGCGGCAGCAGCATGCAGCCAATTGGGATTTTGAATCTGTGCGTGACATTTGACAGTTGAGCCACCCACAGGAATGACTCGTCAAGAGGTGGTTCGACATCATGATCGGAAGTATCCCGTTTGGTATAGATGACGATTGAAAATGATTGTCGTCCATGATTTCTACTGATCAACCTCATGGTTTTTGTTGTTTTCCATGCAAATCTCATGAAATCGGCTTGTTTCTGTCTCATCCATGGTATGTTTCCGGGCCTGCTAGTGGCTCAGTCACAAAACGGTCCCAAAGCAAAAACGAAGATCGGGAGAAGAATACTATTCTAACACAAATCTTCCAGGGAACAATCGGTATCGAAGTTTGGATAAGGCAGAAGAATCCGAGAAGATCCAGAAGGATCCAGAAGGAACAAATTCAATCACAATTCTTTGCCACAAGCGTTTGTGTGTAAAAGCAGCTCCTGTGCGTAAAAGGGTCTGTGTGTCAAAGTGTCTGCGTGTAAACGTGTCTGTGTGTAAAAGTGTCTGTGTAAAAGCGTCTGTGTGTAAAAGCTTCTGTATGTAAAAGCTTCTGTATGTAAACGCTTCTGTGGGTAAAAGCTTTGTGTGTAAAAGCGTCTGTGTAAAAGCTTCTGTGTGTAAAAGCTTCTGTGTGTAAAAGCTTTTGTGTGTAAAAGCGTCTGTGTGTAAAAGTGTTTGCGATGCAAACTATTGTCTTGCACTTTTCACTATTTTGTCTTGATACTCCTCTTCTCGACTGCCTATAACACATCTTTCATATCGGTTGACAACAAATTGTCATTCCACATGCTGAGAAGAGCAAAAGAGTCAGCCACGCCGGAAACGTGCTTAGAAAATTCAACAGTCCTGACCTGGATGCAATGCAAAGTAACCTCCAAACTTCACATTGAACATGTTGAAGCTTGGCTCGGGACAACGCAGCAAACAGAAAGGACGCGCCTCAGATTCACTTTATCCCGCGACTGCACTCTAGGTTGAAACTGTTTGAAACTACAAATCAATACTTCATACTAACATATACTAACGCTGTTTCTGTCACGATCTTTCAGTGTCAGGAAAAATGTCAGCCTTGAATGTGGAAGATCTTCTTGAAGACAGTGGGGCCGTAATGCATGAAGACATTCATACCTGGCAGCAAAATCTTCGAGTTTGCGCTCGTTTGTTGAATACATCCTTTGAATGGGTATGTCTTATGGCTAGTATTTTGCCTTCGCTCATGACGTAAGCAGCATGTCATATGCGGGTGACAAAAAATGCTGAACTGATACAGCTCTTCAAATACAGCTCTTCCGTGGGGCTGGGTTTCCCGACTCGGCTGGAACGGCTGGTTGCTGAAAAGCCCACGAACATGGCATTGATAATCAGTGATGGTCCGCGGATCCCCCTGTGACTTCCATGGGTTACTTGGGGGCTCCAGTTTTGCAAACACAAATGAAGTATCAAGTTATTTTTAGCCTCCACGAAGTTCAAACAAGGCTCGAGACTCAGGTTGCTCAATGATTTGTGTTTTTTCACAACATAAGGCTTTACAAAGTTAGGATTCATTTATGTTGTAAAAAAGATGCCAAATTCGCATCAGGTCTTGACGTTCAAAAACTCCAAAATCCCATTTTTTGATTTGTGTAAAGCCCACGTGGTTTCACAACATTTGCACATTTTTCAAGTTATCCCAATCTCACCACCAGCGGGCAGCACACATGTTTTTGTCTCTTTTATGCGTTTGCCCCCAAGTTTATTGTTTGCCTTTTCTTTTCATTCATTCATAGTCATAGTATATGTCATAATATCATATTATCTCATTAAATCATTGACAAAAATCTTATCTCACAGCAGGAAAAACGGCAACTGTGACAAGCAGTTACAAAGTTCAAACCTACAGGACAAGGACAAGTCTACACCTTACAAACCTAAACCTGTTTACTCCTGCAGACAAACCCGCTCCCACTACAAAGTTCAAACAGTGAAAATATGAAATCTCTTTGGGTTACGAAATTGAAACTGATTGAAAATCAGAAGGGTCTGGCTCTACAAAGCTGGATATAGGTTACTATTTTTTACAAATTTTCACATCAGGCTCAAAGCAGCCCTCTACAAAGTTAGGATTCATTTATGTTGAAAAAAATAGTTCATTTAGCATCAATGTCAGAGCATGAGATCCAAGCTTTGTAGAGGAAAGTGCTTCTGCAAAACTTGGTGGTTTTGGGAGCCCGAGCTCCTTGCTTTGTAAGGGATATTGCCGGGGGGATGTCCGCGGATCCTCTGGGTACGGCTGAAAATTACTTGGCCCAGTTTGGAATGGTTCAATATAAAAAGTTATATAATGATGACGTGTTTTGCTGTGGTGTGTGTCTGCATCAAGCCAAACCAATCCAAACCATATTGAACCTACAGAATCCTACAGATACCTGCAGATCGTCGCCATTCGGAATCCACAGAAACGACCCCTGGCGCCAGAGGTCGTTTCAACTGCCATGCATGGAAGTGTGCCACTCGTCTTCGGAACCCGTCTTGGGGGGAATTCGTCTTCGGAATTCGTCTTCGGGAGGGAATTCGTCTTCGGGGGGGAATTCGTCTTCGAGGAATTCGTCTTCGGAATTCGTCTTCGGGGGGGAATTCGTCTGCGGGGAATTCGTCTTCCGAATTCGTCTTCGGGGGGGACTTCGTCTGCGGGAATTCGTCTTCTGGAATTCGTCTTCGGGGGTGGGGGGAGGGAAATCGTCTGCGGGGAATTCGTCTTCGGAATTTGTCTTCGGGTGGGGGGGGATTCGTCTCGGGTCTGGAATTCGTCTGCGGGGGATTTCGCATTCGGATTCGTCCTTTCGGGGGGAATTTGTCTTCGGGGGAGCATTCGGCTTCGGGGATTCGTCTTCGGAATTCGTCTTCGGGAGGGAATTCGTCTTCGGGGGGGAATTCGTCTTCGGGGAATTCGTCTTCGGAATTCGTCTTCGGGGGGGAATTCGTCTTCGGGGGGAATTCGTCTTCGGAATTCGTCTTCGTCTTCGGGTGGTAAAGTGCTACGCCCCCAGCGGCCACAATGAAATATGCTTTGACAGCCGCGTTGTTCAACGATATTCAAGAACATCATAATACTCATCACCACAATAAAAGTTAGTAATGACAACAATGATGCCCACCCATCATTAAGCCTGGTAGTACTAATCCGCCCCATTCGATACCGAAGGATTCCACCGGTCTGAGCGTTGAATTCCCCACTGCCGACCGAGCTCCTAAGCTCCGGTGCTTGAAAGGCTTCAGGTGCTTCGCGAAGGGCTTCCTCCACGATGTCATGCACCAGCCTGGGATCCCAACGGAGGAAAGAATTGCCACAACCAAAGGTCCGTGGGGTGGTGCCCCAGTGAGCGAAATCGCTGTTTGTTGGTTGAAATAAGTCCAAATTCACTATGGTTTTTGTTGGTGATATATAGTTTTCATGGGATTATGACCCATTTATAACATTTTATAACTGGGGTGTGTATATTATCACTAATGATTGTTAAAACAATGCCATAAACCATCCACTAAATCTCCATTTTATGGGTGGTATGAACCGTAAACATATGGATGGTTTTTTATTGTTTACCAATATTACAGGAATTGAACACAATTAATATATTACTGTATTAGCATGTGCCAACAAACATAACTATCTCTATAGTATTGTCGTCTTAGATGGTACAATAATGAACTCCATTGTCTTGCGCCTTTTGGATCCTTTTGGAAGGTCATAGCTGTGTTTTCAAGCTGTCGCGGCACCAAGATTTTGCAGTTGGAGGAGGTGTTTCTTCAGGAAATCCACAACATTCCACAACCATCCTTCCCGAAGGCATCATGCCCAACGTGTCTTTCCCTGTCGATATGTATCCCAAATCCTTCCATCAACATCCATCAACCAAAATGACCAAGGCACTCACAACAGATCCATGAGATACCTCCATGGGATTTCATGGCTATAGCCAAAACTCGGAACTCGATGATTCTTGGGATTGCCATCGGATTTTCTATGTGGGAAACCCAATCTCATAAACCTACCATTTGGGAATGGCGTATGGCATTGGGTTTACCACATTACAAGGCTCCCCCTAATGATAAGTTCATTTATAAACTCCATTTAATAATCGTCAACAAAAACTATATTTAATTTATATCATTTTCTATCATGGTATATCACCAACAGAAACCCTATAGTTCACCAAGTGGTTTTTTCCACCCTGTCACCTATACAAACCCTAAAACCCCCCCATGGCGTCCCCACGGTGTGACGGGGTAACGCCGATCGATCTCAGCCCACAAGGTGCTGCCGCCTGGGGGGATAGATATCTTATCCAGGAATGTATCAAATGAAGTATCCAAGTCAAGTTACTTAAAGTAGATTATGTGTAAAATTTTGATTTTCTGAAAAATTGACATTGATTCCTTCTTGTTCTTGTTCTTGTTGTTGTTATTGTTCTTGTTCTTGTTGTCGTTGTTGTTGTTGTTGTAGTTTAAACCCATTCCACTACATGTATGTTTCAAAGCTAGTAAACCGATAGTTTTACAAGCTGAGCTAACTATGAGGCCCCATTTTGTGGGTATCAAATCCAATGTACAACCTATTTTTGATAGGAATACCATCTATAGACAAATGAGTTGAAATGAAAGATTTGTTCTCTCTCTCTCTCTCTGTCTCTCTGTCTCTCTCTCTCTCTCTATCCATGCCATTGTTTTGCATTCACTCACAACTCGCCGAGGTCTACCAAATTAGGGCTGAACTCCCTACATAGTGCGGTTTCCGCAACCTTTCACCTAGTTCTACTTGGCAAACAGCAGATTTTTTGGGTTAAATAGTGCGTAGAATGTCCCATTTCACCTGAGGTAACCCCGTGTGAAAGCTTTCACTTCCTATCCACCTAGCCTCTCCATGCACCGGCACCTGCAGGTTGCCTGGTGCAGTTGGACGGCTGGCACATTCAATCACCGTGGAAAAATGATCAACGGTATCAACGTCATTGGAGATAAAATGCATTTTGTTGTGATGAAACCTCATGAAGACTTGACACCCAAGATCAACCAATCACCTGAAAGTATCACACATATATGGGGAGTTTCTTAAAATGGAGGATCCACAAGTCCAAGTCAGATTTGGGGGTACCCCCATGACTTAGGAAACCCCCATATGGTTGTCATTTTGAGGAAGGGAAACCACCATCTAACCTTGCACTCCCCATGGTGACCTCTGCTGGCAGGGCAAGGGCATTTGCATCGATCCACCTGAGAGACGAAGGACTTTGGCGAACTTGTGGCTACCCCCACACCCCCACTTCAAAAAAACTGTTTGAATAGCCAGATCTGGGTTAGTCTGGACATAGGTTACCCATGGATACACTCAATTCCAACAGATTGTCATGATGTTCTCTATTGAAATGGCCATGACTGGGGGTATCCCCCTATTTTCAGACAAAGCCGTTTCTGAAAGCCCCATCCTGATCCAACACTTTCACCTACTGCCCCATCTACATGCAGTTCCACTGTTGGAACCTCAACTTTCCAAGAACATAATTGGGATCGCTACCCTCTGGTAATTATGGTAATTGTTGACAAAAATGAAAATAGCCATTTTTAACAGGCGGCAAACACCGTTCTGAATGGGCTATGCTCACCCATGTTTCATATCACATATCTATGCCAAATTATTACCACAAGGTATATCAAGGTATGCCATTTATGGTCATGGAAAATGACACAAGGAAGAAGCACACGGGAGGTCCAGTCAACAGCTTTGTTTCCTTCGCATATCCCAATGGAAAACGATCTCCCCCCACCCCTGGTCACCATTCCAGACCCCATCCCCATTCTGCCAAGCAACACATTACCACTGGCCGGTACCTGAGTGAACCCCGTGAGGCAGTACATGGCCCAAGCTGGGTTGCCACAAGACTCCGCCCTGGACATGACATGTCAGCATCTGTTCCAAAGGCAATCAATTGATTCAAGCCCTGCAGGCATATTAGAGTCATACAGTATATGTATCTATATGAATATCCTACTCCCCCTCTATCTGCCCGTTCATTGGTTGACGAGCATGAGCTGAACAAAACATCCACCATGACATCGCCTGTACAGTTTTTTTGGGAGTTGGGAGGGATACTTTTGGGAAAAGCCGCAAAAACAATTTTAAATCCCTTGGGTTCCAAGATTTACCACCTCAAAACTGCCCATCCCAAGCCGAAAGTAGTCCAGCTCCCTCTCTGGCTCTATGTTAGATCCCAGTGTCGGAGCAGCAAATTGGAAGCCCGATGCAGAGGGTGCGCCTGGGTTTGGTGGAAATCCGTCAGCAAAAAAACAATTCAAAGGAGTCACATGAAATAGTGTTTGATTAAGTGTGTATCTTATAGATTGACAGCATCTTAAAGCATGTATAATTAATTACTATACTTGATTTCAAGCGACTATGATTATTATATTATCTGTGTATGTTTTTTTTTCTCCGGGGTCACATGCAAGAGAATGACATGAAACTCATATGGGTGTGTCTGAAAATAGTGTACCCCTAAACCCAATGGTCAATGATCATTATCCCTATTAAATGGCTATAATTGGGAATATACCCTATTTTCAGACAAACTCATATTCTTATTGAGCCAGAAACGTGGCTCGTGCAGTAACTCGACGTCATTTTCTCCATTGAATCCATGAGATCGACGCGCAGGAATCGCGCTTGCGCGGCGCGCGGCAAGCCATACACGAACTGCCTCTTTGGCCCCCAAAACAAGCACGAGATTTACTGGTGATTTAATGGTGTTTAATGGTGTTTAATGGTGATTTAATGGTGATTTAATGATGGCTAATGATGATGATGATGGTTAATAGTGTCTGGTTGGTGGTTGACCTACCCCTCTGAAAAATATGAGTTCGTCAGTTGGGATGTTATTCCATTCCCAATATGATGGGAAAGTCAGTCAAAATTCCATGGTTCCAGTCACCACCAACCAGTTTATGGAAACATCCGTCTTCACCAGAGTCTTCAATAAACTAGTAGTATCAGTATAGGATATCGTATTTCTTTAGGGATTCATAACTCAAAGATGTTGGGATTTAGGGGCCGGGCGATCATCGTTGCAAAACGATTCGGCAACTCTTTTTGGAGCTTTGGCATGGGAAGGCGTACTGCACTTACCCACCTGATACTCAAAGGACAAGCTGTGCGGAATGGAATTTATCGAATCAATATCATTTCAAATAACACACACCTATATTAATTTATGTTTGCTAAAAGGCTCCAAAACGAACCAAAAAAACTTTATTCAACAGATCTTCCTACACGGAAAAACGGTTGTCTCCTATGTCTCCTCCCCAATCTGGGGGGTTCTTAAATTGGGGGATGCCGGGATGCAAACGTCACCATGGGTTTCAATATGTTTCAATACTAAACTAGTCTAATGACTTGGACGATTTGGGGTACCCCCTATTTTAGGAAACCCCAATCCCTGTGTGTTGTTCGGCACCGCTGAGAGAAAAATCGGAAGCTACGAGCCGAGAGCGCAGGCTTTCACCACCTCATCGATCGCCTCAAACTGAGCGTCAAAAGCAGCTGGAAATAGGAAGGGACGGAGGTCAAAGCCTTGGTGCTGCAGGGACGTATCGTTAGCCGCTGGAAGTTCACCGGCAAAACCATTTGGGCAAGTGATTTTTGCCAAGAAAAATTGGAGAAATCAAACATCTCTGGGGGCATCAAGTGGGGTAGAAGCTATTCCTGGACATTTTTTTTGGGGGTGAAGTATGGTGAACTTCACCCAGAAATGGGGATCTTGACATGTCCCAAAATGATGATGTTCACTTCCAAGATCTGTGGATTTCATAGGGGCTACTGATGGAGGCGCAGCCTCTGTTGTCCCAGCCACGATTGTCGTCCGGCGAGTAGTTCTCTGCGTGGTAGGAGGGTGTCAAGGTAGTCATCCTCATATGGAAATCTCTGGTTGCCACACCAAGGATACCCCCCCCCAAAAAAAAGGATGTTTCAAAAAATCAGGGGTTTCCAAAACCATGGGGGTCAATATGTTCAATATATTAATTATATTAACATGCTCCAATTTTGGAAACCTCCACATCAGTGAAGAGCTCATTTATGTTTTAAACAAATTCAGGGTGTGAACCCCGGGATTGAGAGGATGGAGTCCTCAAAGCCAATCAAAAACACTACTGTCACAGGCTACCCCCTAAATCTGCTGATTATGTAATCATCATGTTGTCTACTAAAATGAAAACGAAATGTGTTTCTGGAGCTGACCCTGAGATGTGCTGGTGGAGGTTGTGCCTGTGGACCACGGCCACTGCTGTGAGTCGTTCAACCAACCAACCAACCAACCAACCAACCAGCCAGCCAACCAACCAACCAACCAACCAACCAACCATCTGTAATTGAATTGACTGGTGTATACCGGGCATACCCAAATTTCAGACAATCCTCTTTGATCATGATTGAACATATTGAAACCACCACCCGGATTGGATCTTGGCCATTCATCTTCCGGCCGTTTGCGATAGCTAATGCATTACAATTTCATTATTTTACATGTCGAGTAATTACTTCTTTTGAGCTTAGCAAAAGATCTCCGTAAGTGGCCGAACTTCATGACTTACTATGACTTACTGGCTGGCTGGGCCTACTTCGTCGTGAACCACCCATTGCTCAGACAGTCATGGAAACTGGGCAGTTCCATGTTCACCTGGAAGGTGGAAATCTCTGGTTTTATCTATGGGGGAGCTGCTATAGGAACCACAAAACAGGCTCAAGAGAAGCAACAACATGTGTTTTAAACAAATAAAACTTCCCTATATAGATCTATATATACATATTTATATATACCTAGGGATTCCATCGAGCAAACTTTTCTGCTCAATGCCTTCTTTGTATATGTTTCTGGGCTTCCGAGCTTTCTTCTGATGGTCGAGCACTTTTTTAAGAATCGAGCAGAAAATTGTGATTACTGAAATCTTTACCAGAATATACATGCAATAACGTAATAGATTCAAATCCAGATTGATGGGGGTTCTTTAGTGGGTTGCCACTTGGCTCGAACACAGCCTAAACAGCTCCAAGTTCCAGTTGATGGAGTGCGCCCCCACCAGTTGTGTGCATAAGTGCACGCACCACCGCAGGAGTCGATCTTGCCACCTTGCAGGTACAGCGATGGACACTGGATCGAGGGCTTCTAGAATCATGATGCCTATTTGGAGTTGAGGGAACGGGGATCATCTTTCTTCAGAACTGTATTTGGTTGATGCGGTTCAAATTCGATGTTATCTTCCCCACAAAAAGCATGATTGCCATTTGATATCCCATCAGCTGCGTGGATCAAAGAACCCACTTTTTTCTTGGTGGGATGACGGAAAGGGCCACACCCGAGAAAACCCCTGTTGGATTGGTGATTGCGCAATGGAAGAGTCTCCCTACGCTCGTGGAGCATGCAGCTGGGGGCATTATGTGCAAGATTGGGTCTCAGCAGGATTTGAACCGCCGTGAGGTTTGCCAAAATGCGGCAATTCTTGAACCGGTAATCCAACATCTCGGTGTTTTAGCCATGATTTAGTACGTCTAAATGGAACCAATTTTATGTTTCATGTTTTCTCTCAGATTCTATTGGGTTATGCTGGGTTCCTATATGTTACTACTGACCCCCCCCCCAAAAAAAAAACTTACATTTTTTATATATGTCGACATTTAAAATTGTTAGCCCATGTCATCTCAGGTTTGCGGCCTTCTTTGGAGGACATTGCGGAAGCAGTGGAATGTTTCCTCTACCACTCCAGGCCAAGGGGCAAAAGTTTGCCTACTGGATTCTAGGCATGATAGGGGAATATGATGACTTGTTGGTCCGATTTTGAACTTTAAACATCAACCAATCTAAACCCCTGATCTGTCCTAAGGACGTGTGATCAAAGCGGAATCATGGATTATTCGGAAGCTCATCTACTGTTTCTCCAGAACGGTGCGTCGTGGACACCGTCCACGGGAATCAGCTTTGAGAAAGTTGATGGAAGTAGCAGAGATTCCGATCCCTGACACGTCTCCAGCAAATAGGAGTTCACCCCGAGGTTTCTAGCTATACATATAGTTACATTTTTATTTGGAAGTAAAAAAACATGAATTATAATTCCCTATACCATCCGATACCTTAGGGAATCATCCATTATATATGCCGCACTTCTAGATCCAATGCCTGGTCAGCCAACCCATCGCCATCCCAGGTTCTGAGCCTGCTCCACTTGAAGATGCTGATGATGAAGAAGCAGAAGGCGCCTACGACGAGGAATGTCCAGAGAGTGAGCCCGAGGAATCCGACCCTGTGGTGGAGGTGAACCCAAAGGATACCCGCTCAAATGTACATTTGTTTTTTGTTTGAAAAGATGGTCATATCCTTAGTAACATAAACATTTAAAATAATTATGGGATTGAACCTGGTTTACACATGGGGTTCATTTATGTTTTTTTCAACAAACCATTTCCATCTTACGAGGATGAAATTCCCGATGGACAAGTGCATCAATCAGCAGGGCCAGGCCCCAATGTTGAGTCAGGTGGGGCATGCATAAACTCCAAACAAGTGGGTTTAAGACAGTTCAGAAGTACTATAGATTATTGTTTTTCAAGTGATTGGCAGGTGACACTACTTCTCCACCCCCAGTCGCCATGGATGACGGATCTACTGATTGGATGAAAACACCTCGGTGTATCTTAGCTTCGACCAGTATCACTTCTATTATTTGCAATTGATTTAGCATTGGGTAATCCCTGGACAACAGAACTCATGCATATTCATTTTTGTATCCTAGCATAGCCTAGGTTCTGTGGATGATCATGATGATCGACAGGATGCGGAGTTCCCGGGACCCGGAAAGCACAACATAGTCAAATCACGAACCCATCAAGGTGAATGTCTCAAATGTGGACTTCGTGGCTCTTGGGACTCAATCAAGTCTCAGGAATGCAGATCGCAACAGCCTACCCCTTCACCCATGGAAGTGATTGAGGCCAACCCTGATAAGACCGTTGTTGACCATACTAAGTCATTGTCGGCAGAGCTTGATCAAGCCCTGCAAGCAGGGAAGTCCGAGGAGGCCATGGAGATTATGACTTTGCTAGAGATTCAACATGAACATGACAAGATCGAAGACGAGGAGTTGGCCCTTCAAATGATGGAGGAGGAGTTGAAAATCCTAGAGATGACTGAGCAACTCCACAAGTTGGAGATGCAAGCTCTCGAGGAACAGGAAACCATTCAAATGAATTATGCCAAGGACTTGTCAATGAAAGATGTTGCTCGCCCACCTGCCAGACCATTGGTATCATCTACCCCGGTTCCAGCTGTTTGCACCTAGACTCCAACTAATCATACTTTGAACCATCACCTATGGGAATTCCTGGTCTTTCCAATTTGGTTGCATGCCCCCTGCCCTGTAGTTCCTGTAGAAATGGTATTATAGTAGGTTCTTATAGTGTGATTGAAAATATGCCACAAAGTCAATGGTTTCAATGAGGGAAATTATACCTATTTTAACAATCAACCGAGCCAACACACACATGAAAAATCAAATGGTAATCCTGCTTCTCCCAGGTCCTGACCTTCTGGACACCCTGCCCATGGAGTTCCCGGAACCCTTTGTGCCTGCTGTGGTTGACTCGGCTGGCTCCAAGTCCGAGCCTCCCGAGACGTCTGGGACCATGGATGCGGGATCAATCATTGCTCGCCAGAGAACCCTGAAGTTGGGGGAAGTTCCTAGTGATGATGATGCTTGTGCAGATCACAAGGTTGGGCAAAACATTTGTTCGGTCAATATTTTGGGAAACACCCAAAAACATAAGTAAGATTCTATCAGGCAAATTATATTTGGATTCAAATGCTATATTATGATGTAGTATGGTAGCTAAGCAAACAGGTGGGAATCATAAGTCTCAACATTCTGTTTTTTTGGCACCCCCTCTAGGACACTGCGTTGCCGACATCAGTGAGCAACCCTCGTCCATCTGATGTTGTGGATGATTTGGAACCTATCAAACCCAGTGAGCAGGGCCAGCGCAAGAGCGGGAGGGGGAAGGGTCGTGGCAGAGGAAGAGGTCGGGGGCGAGGAAAGGGTAGGTGTAGAAAGGTTGAGGATGATGAGGAGAACGAAGAGGAAGACGGCAAGGATTCTGAGGAGAACGAGGAAGGTGCCAAGGAGGCATCGGATGACAATGAATGCAAAGAACCCGCAAAGCATGGACCATGCAGAGCAAAGAGAGCAAGCAAAACACCCAAGAAATCTAAGGCTGACAAGGTTGACAAGGCAGATGCAAGCAACAAGAAGCCAACTAGGAAAGCAAAACCTGCAGCAAAGATGACTGACAAGAGCGCCAAGGGTAAGGCAAAAGGAAAAACGACTGAGCCAGCACCAAAGGCAGCAAATGATCGCCGCAAGAGCAAATCCAAGGCAGTTGACCCGGATGACATCAAGACCACAGACACGGTGCCAAAGAAGAAAGCCAAAAAACATGAGGTAGCTGTAGATGAGATGCCGGAGGCTGACAAGGCTGACGAGAACCAGGAGCCAACAAAGACACGCAAAAGCAAAACCAAGGTGAAGAAGGAGAAGGAGGAGAAAGCATCTTCAAGCACAGATGTCCCCAAAGTTCCCAAGAGGAAGGCAAAGGACCTTGAGGGCAAAGCACCCAAGGGATCACCCAAGAGATCTCCGAAGGGAGATTCCAAAGCCACGGATCCACAAGCAGCCAAGCAGCGGCAGTCACGAAAGTCTAGCGCATACCACAAGGCAAAGTTGGCAGCCACAAAGGCAGGTAAAAGCCCAGAGGAAGCCAACAAGCTCGCAAAGGAAGCAGTTCAGTTGAAACAGCATTCTTTTTGTAGATTTTTGTAGTATTTCATATGTTAATGCTATAGGCTTATTTTTTTCCATTGGTTCTCATGCCACGGATTCTTGTTGACCCTCGGATGATCTCGGATGTTTTTTTGGTGCAAAGCATGTCTTGATCTAAGGCATATGCCAACACTGAGTGATCGAGAAAGCAGCTGCGATGGTATCTCTTTCGAAGCACAGCTTGCTTCGGTTGTGGGGCGCGCACCAGCTTGCAGAACGAGCTGTTGCAGTTTCTGGGGTCATGTTCTTGCAATGCAAGAGCCGATATATCCTATAGACCCATGTGACATTTACTGGGTTTTCAATCCATGTGTGATCAAGTGATGGTAGTGGAGACAGCTCCATGCACCAAAGTTGCTAGCGGCTCAAAAAAACAAGCAATGCAGATTTGTTTCTACAACTTGGTAGCTGCCTGATCTCAGGGATTTTAGCTCTTGGGAATTCATTAGAATTAACTCAGGATTCAAAAGGAAAATTAATCAAAGAAAATATCCAGCTTGGTTCGTTTTGATTGGACAGCACTGAGGGGTAACTTCCCACTATTTTACAGCCCATGGATCCTATGATTCTCCCACTGCCTGCCTGCAGGCGGTGATGCCTCGAAACCAGAAGAGAATAAGCACATGGGCAGTCCAAACCTCACTCTTGAGTCGTCAGCCACGGCATGTTTGGGTGGGCGGTTGCCAATTCAGTGTGGAATCTTTGGGAAAAATGATGAATACCATGTGCATGCAATGGTTTCCTTCTCCCTTACTTCCATGCATGTGCTAGCAGCAGCTTTTCCAGTTCTGCTTTGGTGTCCCTTTAGCGCATCCCCTACTGATCAGTTCCCATGCCGCTGATGTCCAATCCCGTGGCCCGACTTCAACATGTTCAAGCGCCTAAGGATTGGGACTCAGATGATTTATTAGTTTACAAAAAAAATATATCATAGATTTGATTTGATATCAAAAACAACTTGTATCATGTACCAGCCATCCCCTTCTGACTGGTCAGGTGCTGATTGCTCTGGTCTGAATCTTGGGGGAATATAGCTTGTGTGAGATCAATTGAAATGATTTTGTATGGGGTGAACCATTAGCAACTCAGGTGTTGTTATTGGGATGGACGGATGGCCTATTGCCTCCAAACCCTGGCTATGATATGCTTGAAATCTTTGCTGGGCGACAATCAGTTACAACTGCCTGGCACCTACCTCAGATTGATTTGAACAAGAATCCTGTGTACTGGCTATTAGATTAATTCTTGATGGGTACAACCAAAAAAAAATTGCAACTTGAAGCCATCAGAGGTATGATGCTGGATACCGAACTGCTTCATTCGACCGGGACTTTTGCCAATCAACCATGGATTTTTTGACAGCTCCAGGTTTTCTGCACCTTGTCACCCAACTAGTGTTTTCTGGAAATTGAATGGTTAGATTCAAGCCATACCATGCCCTCCACCAAATCCACTGGGTCTCCCATCGGCCGATCGCTTCAGGTTATGCCTCTGGGTGATCCTGGGGATGGCGCCAGATAGTCTGGTGATGCTGGCACCAGATTGCTCTTCATGGGGCATTCCCGCTCGAGGGACAAGCTTACGGAATTTCATGAATGTAAATGGCAACCTGTTCCTGACGTGGGTTCGAAATTCAAACATCATGCTGTCAAGGTACCTCGCATCAAGATAAAGGGATTACAAGTCTTAGCAAAAGTGCTGTAAAAAAACAACATGTCTCGGTCTTTCCAACCCCCAACTAAGGTGCACATTGGCATGTTTGTTGGTACTTGCCAACAATTGCATATGGGTTCTGGAACAACCACACCAGAGCTTGGCTGGTCGATGGAGACGTTTCGAATGGATGATAAACCATGTTGCATATGTACTTCGGCCAATGTCTCTGGGGTCGCTGAGGGCATGAGGTGTCTTTTAAGCTTTTGGGGTGCACTGAAAAAATACAAATGTACTTTCCACCCAAGAAAACACCATGCATGATTTTGGAATTTGAAAATTCAACCCACCATAATCCACCCTTTTCGGGGCATAATGTTTTTTACTACAAACTCTTGGGGCTCTAATCATTTGAAATCGTCAATCCTGAAACACTGCTCGGCCTCCGAAAGCCACGCATAACCACGCCCAGGTGTACCGAGTGGAGTTTTGGATGGCCTTGCATGGAAGCCCTAGCCCGAAGAGGACATGCATATGGAGTAACATGCCCCAGGTGCTAGGTTTGGATCTTGGGGTTTTGACAAAAGAAGAAAAACAACGAAGAACATCAGTACAAACAGTTCGCAAATATGTGAATGGAAGTGGGCAATCCAGATTTGTGGGCACGCCTGCACTTTCTCAATCTCAGAACCTGGGACTTATATTGAAAACAGCTGCTTGTATGTTCAACCAATGCCATTCAATATGTCGAATCACATAACATGTTCCGATATTATGTTTCCCCTTCCAGCCAAGGGCATACCCTGCAGAGTTTGGGAGAAATCTCCTCCGGGCCTTTCAAGCCCACATTGCGGCGATTGGTCCTGGTCGAAGGGATCTCCGGTTCAAGCCACAATTCAACCGGACATTGGATGAGATCAGCCAATTTGATCTTCTACCTCTAGGAGACTGCTGGGAAGATGCAGATTTATTACCAGTACTCACGTACTTGATGGAATGTAAGCACTGCAGGACCCTGGGGTTTCAATCAAGCACTGGTGCAACTGATGCATTTAATAATAGCTCATTTGTTTGTCAATTTGGTTCTTGGGAGGATCCCAACCGAATGGGAGAAGACGATGCACTCATTCTACCAAGAGTATAAGGAAGAGGCTCCAAAGGGTTCCCAAAACATTCTCCCAAACCATTTCACGAGGGGTTTTATTATACCTGGAGTTTTATTATATAGTATACAACAGTATGACAGATCGATATAAGATATATAGCCTATATAGCTGTGTTTGTCCTTTAAACTTAAAACCTTTGAATCCACCGGCAAAGCCCAGCTATGCACTTCCACTGCAGGTGCTTGGGGACAAGAGCTTGACCGATGAGCTCATGGTGTTGCAGAACGAGGGCCGTGAACCCAAACGGGTAAAATGTGAGGTCAAATGTGAGGATTAGTCCCACATGCACTGAAGATTGCAAACATGTGGTCCCTAAAGACTTGGGATGTAATTTGTAACAATTTGCGGGCTTTTGTGGATTTTGGTCTCCACAAAAAGTGGCGCACAACGAGCGCACAAACGTGCAAACGAGCGCACAAACGTGCAAACGGGCACACTCTCAAAAAGTGCTCATTTGGGTTTTTGTCATATGGTGCATTACAGCCCTTAGATGAACCATTTCGTGTTTTTTTGTTGGAATCAGCATGAATCAGCCATCCACTACCACACATGATACATTGTAGAACATTTGGGATCAAATCACTGCTTTGAGTGGCGCTTGGGTATGACAAGCCGGCTTCATAGCGCCAATACTTTGGTTGAGGGAATGAACAAAGTTGGCCATGGGTCTGTTCAAGATCGAAAGCGGGCGCTTGAGGAACAAATAGCAGTTACTTGATTGCATGCCCTTATATTCCCCAGCCTATGGCCTTTAGATCGAAATCTACATATAATGGGCATATGATTCATATGCATGGTTAATCACTTTTTTGCCCCCTTCCTGAGGCGAGTCGTGCACGAGTGGATGCCTTACGACGCAAGAAGAGCAACCAGGCTTCCACCCTCTCTCCAGAAGAGCCACCAAGCGGACACTTGCTAGGGTATTTATGATGGCCATAATATCTTGGGACAAAGACATACAAAAACGACTTACGATAGCATTTTTCAACTGGACCATGGATCCTCAAGAATTAGTTTTAACTACTGCACAATGCCAATCTAAGGAGCACCTCACTGTGGTCAATCTGGGGGCACGTTTTGCGCAGGAAACCCAACAAGGTCAGGAACAGTTGAACAGTTGCCAGACACAGTTCCAGAGCTGCCAGACCGACAGCGCCAGCCTGATACCCAAACCCAGGAGATGGCTTCTGTGGTTCGGCCCCCATGTGATTCCCAAGTTCCAGTGTCTGAAGCATCCCTTGCCCCAACTATTCCCGGAAAGCCAGATACGTTTCATACACCTTCTGAAGCAGTGGTGAACACTATGCACCCATCACCTGAACCAACCGCCCCGCCAGCGCCCTCTCCTGTCCTTGCTTCGGGGCCGTCTGCTGAAGCTGAAGATCGTGGCCTGACGCCGACGATTGCTGAGGAGTCTGAGCCAGGAGATTCTGTGTCGCATGCGGGCCCTCCTTCGAGAGATGGTTACTGGAGGCCCCAATAATTTTTTGTGCATGCATAAATGATTGGGTGAATGTATGAACGATCGATATGTTTCCCTTTTAGCTGACACTTAAATATAACATTGAATCCATGCACATGCATCACATGGGATTTTTGTTTCTGTCCCCAGGCTCTATCGGTACTTCCGTCCAAAAGGTGGAAAGGTGAAGTGTAGCCCTGAAGCTCTGAAGATGTGGGAGACAAAAGATGGACGTGTCATGGCTCACAACTTACAACACACGATGGTCAATTCATGTGAGTTCGTCAAAATAGATTGCCCCATAAATCCATAATTCCAATACTTCTAAGATATGATATAGATCCCTTGCACATCTCAGGTGAGAAGCTCAAGGCCATGTTCCATCAGCATGGTTCCTTCGAGGAGTTAGAGATTCAGGTGAAGAAGCACCACATGAAATCTAGGGAGGATGCGAAGACAGGAGGTTGGTACACCAAACATGCCCTTGAGTTCAAAGAGGGCTGGTCGAAGCAAGGTCCCCAGTTCTGTTTATGTTCTTCATGCATGCATGCCAGGTTACCATCCTATGTGTTTTTAAAATTACCAATTATCCAATTATTTCCCGTACTCATCCCATTGAGGTCCATGATTCAGAAGGCCCTTGATTGGGGTCGCAAGACGAATAACCTTCGGGTAAATCCCATCCATGGCGAAGAAGAGATTCGCATGATCTTGAGTGA